AACGTGAACGGCCGGAGCGGGCAATGCCGGCGACGATTCTCTGAACCGGTCCCGCACCTCCCCTAGGTCGACTCCAGCCTCACATGAGTACCGAGCGCGGTGTTTTAACGTCGCCACTCGGGAGGCAAAGGCGTCCGGCCGCGGTGTTGGCCACCCACCCCTCGTGTGCCGTGCCGGCCTTCATAGGTGCTGCTCGCTAGCAGCACTTGGCCCAACGATCTGTTAAGGCTACACGGGGGATCTTTGTCTTTGATGTCACGCGAGGGGTGAGTGCATTCCACGTCCCGGCGTAGATAGCGGCGAGGGAGTTTGGTGAAGCCCTCGTTTCGCTACACGATCCCCTCGGCGTGCAGTGCACTGATTCTGGCAGCGTCATCATCGTTATCGGTGTCCCTGGGCCTTAATTCCTACCCAGAGGAAGTCTATATCTTGCCGTTAAAACCGCTCAGAGCTCACGTCGCTTAATCCTCACTCGGAAATCAGTGCCCTCCGTGCTGCGAGTAATTATTTAGCTGTGGAGTCATGTGGACGGCACTGGGAGCCAGATCTCTGTCGAGTGTGGGATTTTTCTGGCTCCTCGTTCAGTTTCCTCCAGGTTTGTTGGGCTTTCATCTCCGTATGTTTTTCAGTTAACGCGTAAACGAGATTAACGACCCACAGATATTACCGGGCGGCTGCAGAAGTGATCCGTGCGTGGGGGTGGGGGGGGCAAGCTTAGTGGCCCTGTGCATCGTCACCCAGACCGCCCGTCGCTCCACTCAATGTATCTTGGGGAGCGCGCGCACTCCTGCTTTTGTATTTTCACTCCGGTTAATCTTTGGCACGTGGAGTGCGCCACACCTCACCAGTTTTCTCCCCGCCCGCGAGCGTTCTGTTGTTAGTGGCGGGCCACTCGAGACCCACTCGGGGGACTTCTCGAGGGCTCCCTGTTTTACCAGCAGATACACTTTGCTCTCGGCCGAGTGGAGTGGATGAAAAATATCGGAAAGAAAGGCCTAAACAGAGAGAGAGAGAGAGAGAAAAGAACGCAAGGCTCCGGTAGCCCTTTTGTCAGCGGGCAGAGTCCTGGAAAGGCTCGACACCGCTCGCTGGATTACAGGAGAGTCCACTCAGGGTGACGCGGCTGGAAAGCGGCGAGCCACGTGGAGCCGCGCTTCAGCGGCTGTTGTTGTAGGGAATGCGTCCCTGCCACCCCCACCCCACCCCCCACCCCCCCCCCCCCCCCCAGGGGCCTCGGGTGTTTAATTGTGAGCGTCGAGTGTGGGAGGTCAACAAGACCGCCGTGGGAGGTTTGTTTCAAAGAGGACGGGGAAGAGAAAGTTCTTGTTTGTCCAAGGTCCTCGGTTGTTGAGAATTGGAAGCTGACCGTGACATTGTGCGAAATATCAACATTGAAGGACAAAATGTCTCCGCGGTCAAACGGGTATGGGATGGTTATTCGTCGTCTGTTAAAGAGACCTGAGCCTATGATGGAAATTCCACATTCTTATGGTGGGAGACCGTCTCTCCGTGGCATGGCCACGGTCGACCTCTCACGACGACTACACGGCGCTGACTGTCGACGCCGCAGGTGGCGGTCCGAGCGGAGCTCCGACTTGGAAGTGAAACTCGTGACATATCCATCACGGGTCAAGCGCTTTGGACGAATGCAGTTGTACGCCATTATTCGTGTAAAGGGAAAACAACATAATTGGCGGTAATGCCGACAAAGAATACGCTCACAATTCTTGAGGTGCGTCGCGGAAGGCTTAGAGGAAGCCACTCCCTGCTGCGTTGTCACATCTCACGGACGCCACTCACACGAGGAGCGGAAAGGAAATGCGAGCGGCAACCCAAACGTGGAACCGTTCTGTGTCCGTCGGAACGCATTCTCAGTATCGTTAGCGGCGGGACGCTCTCTTCATCAAATGGATCTTAGCGGCGGGATTGGGAGCTGCGCAGCTGTGTTTGCCGAATAAACTCAAGGAGTACGTTTACAACGAGGGCCCAGCTCTTGAACGTGGAGAACACGCCGGAAAGTGTTCTACCAACATGACGGTTCACCCTTGCCCAATGTTGCGAGGTCATCACGGCCACTGATGCTGATGCCATGTCCTGTCACCATTGCTTCTTGCCTATTTGGCCAGATTCTGCAACTGTTGCAAAATATGAATCTCGACCGTTAAGTTCCACGCTCGCAGTCTCACCACCACCACCACCACCTCAATCGCGCTTAGGCCTCCCCCGTGACCTCCGACCTCTGAGTGCCACTCCACTGCCCGTTCCCTTAACCTGCCCTCCGGCTCCTCCACTCTGCACGTGTGTCCCATCCGCCCTGGGCAACCTGCCCTTCCTGATTACACTTACAGTGCTTTCCTGCCACGCTCCATTCTGAACTTCCAAGCTGCTTTTACCCTATCCTCGCCTGAAATTTCTAGCATCCTCTGCATCTTGCCTGATCGCTTTGTTGAAGTCCAGCAGCGGTACATCGTCACGAATTACTGCGTGCACTGTTATTAAATTAAAAAATGTGTTTCGTAATAATGACCGGGCCAAGATCATCGCCCCTTTGGGCTTGACAACGCGGTTTCATCACGGGTGGCTGGAACCCGGGTTTGACCCCAGGGTTTGAAACAAGGTCTGAATCCAGGGTTTGAACCCAGGTTTGAACCCAGGTTTGACCCCAGGGTTTGACCCCAGGGTTTGACCCCAGGGTTTGAACCAAGGTCTAAATTTGAGATTTGAATCCAAGGTTTGACCCCAGGGTTTGAACCAATGTCTGAATCCAGGGTTTGAACCCAGGTTTGAACCCAGGTTTGACCCCAGGGTTTGACCCCAGGGTTTGAACCAAGGTCTAAATCCGAGGTCTGAATCCAGGGTTTGAACCCAGGTTTGAACCAAGGTCTGAATCCAGGGATTGAACCCAGGTTTGACCCCAGGGTTTGACCCCAGGGTTTGAACCAAGGTCTAAATCCGAAATCTGAATCCAGGGTTTGAACCCGGGTTTGAACCAAGGTCTGAGCCCAGGATTTGAACCCCGGATGTCAGCGGTGGCTGCTCCACGCTGCGGCGTTGCCATTGTGAACCCCTCAGGCCTTTCAGATGCCTCCCCTGAACGTTCGTCACCCGGTTGAGCCGCATGGCGCTCCCGTGCAGCGCACGATCAGTAGACGAGCGATGGCAACGCGATGGCTCCAAACGTCGTCGCGAGGGCTTCTGCCCATTGCTGTTGTTCATGTCCCCTTGTGTGCCTGCTCTTGTCCATGTGTGTGCTTGCAATGCAGAACTACCCGCGGCACATTTCGCTTTTTGTTGTTGTTTTTATTTGTTTATATTTGTGTTGGTTTGTTTATTTAAGAATCCAATCTGTGCCAGTTATAACAATAACTTGAACCGAATTGGATTTTCTTAAAATGAACGATGCCTTGCTGTGCATTCACACGCTTCCACACGTGTTTGTTTAAAGTATCATCAAAGACTTGAAATGTGAACGAGCCAAACACACAATTACAAAATGAGATTTGTTTATGTGCGACAAGAGGCGTGCGTGCTCGCCAGAGTCAATCCGCGCAGTGTGCTTCGATTCAAACAAGCTTGGCATCGTGCTCATTTCCATCGATGGCCCTGACTCGGTGGTGATAATTCCACATTCTTATGGCAGGGACCAGGACACCCACATGTGACAACCGCTGTTGACTTTCACTAAGGCGGTTCTCATTGTTATGATATCCTGAGGCTGGTTCCCAGGAGCTCTGCCTTATCCCAGCCACCCAGTGATAGACCACCCGTGGTCGCGTGGATTTTTCTCCAGGTCCTCGGGTTTTTCCCTCCATATTTAGGAAGGTGCGTTTAGAGAATTTGGCCGCTTTTAATTTCCACGTGACGAGCCACTTCGTTGAGCTTTCATTTGTGGCCAGGTCTTAATGAGAGCGATGTAGTTCAGTGACCCCCTCCCCCCACCCCCGTATTGCCCGCTTGAGCCACTGCAACGTGGGACGCGCGTGGCGCCACGTCGATTGTGCTGCTTAAGTCACGTGCGGGTCGCCGCGTGCGTCTTTCGTCGGGACGCTTTCGCGACACCGCTTCGAGTGTGTAATTAAATAATGAGGCATTCCACTGCGAGCGACCTACGGGGTTCAGCACAGACTTCACGCACAGGAGCGCACGCACGCACGCGCATAGACGCACGCGAACACACCACTACGCACGCGCACAAGTACATGCACACACACACACAAAAACACACGTGCATGCACTAAGATCGTCCACACATATACTTGTGCACATATAGGCTTTCGCGACCAATATCATCCATAATACAGGTATTTTTTTTAGGGTTAAATCACGTAAATAGTTACGCGTAAATAGTTACGTGGTCTAACCCCAAAAAACACCTGTATTTGTAATGTTCGCCTTTTGGCGTTCTCTGGTCTGACACTGGTGAGACTAGGCCCTAAAGAAGCCTGTCTCCTGGGTAGGCCAATCAGTTTCAAAGACAATGCCATATATCATCAGAACATGTTTTGTTTCCATGTTCATCGCAAGCGTGTGTGGTTAATGCAGACTTTATTGCTTGCAAAAGGTTTCTATTTGGTGTTTGAACATCTGAACACCCGCTGTTTTATTGCTAGAAAGGGTAAAACGCACTCTGCCGATGAGACTCAGAGAGAGTGAAAACCGGCCCTGGGTTTGTCACTTTTTGAAACAAACGCTATTGGGAAAACACCGCTCCACGAGGCCCATCGGCTGACGGACAAAACAGAAATACCAGTTAGCGTCGAGGCACCGACGTTTTGTCGGTCTATTATTCATTTGCTGTGAGCAGGCCCGGTCGGCTGTAGGCAACGCGCCACCGTCACGGTCATTGACGCTTCATCTCGGTTCGCGATGCTCCATCGTCGTGTCGTCGCATTGTGCATGGCTGCCGCTCCCCGCCCCTGCATGCGCGTACTCACGGCCGTGTGCATGTCGCTGTGCTTGTGTCTCCCCCCCCCCGCCTCCCTGCCCCGCTCTGTCCCTAGACCAACGGCCGTCCCCCATCAGCCTCAAACAGAAGGCGATGGAGGGCAGCCTAGCTAGCCACTCCCCCTCCGCGCTAGCGGGCCACGCGCTGGCCGACCTGCAGCCCATCCACCCGGGCCACGCCACGGACCCGTGCCCGGGCTCCGTTAGTGCCTTTACGCACCACGCGACGGCCTACGGGCAGTACGCGCCGGCGCAGGCCTTCGTGCCAGGTACGGGCGCCCCGCGCCGCCACGCTCCGCGCCGGCTGCCGTTCCGCACCGGCGCGGCGAGCTCCGTCTTTCCGCCTCCTCCTCCGGGCTTCGTGCTTCTGCTCAAAGCTGACGTCTCATGAGCGGACGATCTTGTTGTCTCACACTGGCCTAGGGTCCAGATGATCTCTCTCTCTCGCTTTGTCTCTTTCCATCTGCGTATACGTCTTCTCGTCACCGTCTATCTTTCCCCGTCACTGTCGCTGCCTATTCCCATGTCTCTCTGGCTTCGTCTATGAGTGTCTCTCTAGCCCTGCATATCTCTCTCTTTCTGTCACTTTCTCTCTATTGCTGTCTCTCACATTCTCTCACCATCTTCGAAATCCTCCATGGACTCAGCCCACTTCACCTCTCCCCCCTCACTCTAACTCCCCTTGCCCTCTACTCCAACAACCAAGGCCTCCTGCTCGGTCCTCCAGCGAGGCTTTGCTCGATGGAATGTCGCTGCTTCTCCTGGGCCTGGAGCTCCCTTCTCCGACTCAGTTCCTCTGTTCACGCCCAGGCCTAACACTTCTACTCTCTCCCTCCTCCTTCAATGTGACGATTTACTACTGCATTCGAACGTACTGTTTTCCCAACACGGGTCGTATTGTTTTATCCGTGCACTCGCTGGTGGAGTTGGGGGGGGCGGAAGAAATCCACGATCAATCAATCATTTTTAAAAATATCAATCAGTCATTCATTTAATCGGTCAATCAGTCAATGGGAATGCCCCACTAATGACAACGTGAGAGAATGCATTGTGCCTCTTAAGCAAGTGAGACCCGGGAGAAATGTGGTCTTCCGGTGGACGTGCGCGTATCCACGTCGAGCCCACGCGAGGATTGCGTGGCGCTCATTTGCGTGGGCGGCCGTGAGTCGAGAGTGAAAATTCCACATTCCTATGGCGGCAGCCAGTCGCCCCACTGGACGCCCCACTTTGAGTGTCCCCACGCGACGACGATCGTGTGATCCACCCCGGGGGAGAGATGAGTTGAACCCCTGACTGGGAACTGAACTCGTGTCCTCTTGACAGTGATTTTGAATGTGCTCAACCGCTTGCGCTCGTGTTTGTCGCGCACGTGAACATTGACATATTCAACACTGCGAAGCAAGTCAAAAGTGAGGCAAACGTGGGGTCAATCGTCATTTCCTGTTCAAAGGCCCCAACGTCAGCAGCGGCGGGAATCGCACATTCCCATGGCAGGGGCAAGTATGTCCGTGGAACAACTGTCGTATGCTTCCCACAAGCCGGGGCCGATTTAACGGCAGTGGAGGGATGACGAGAGAGCGATGGGCTGCGTTGACCCTCGGCTGGGCTTTGAACTCGGGAGGGCTCCGATTGGCAGACGAGCGTTCTGACCCACCAAGCCCGTGTGGGACAGCTCGAGGTGATGATCTCCACATACCGGGCGAGAACAAGTCGCCCGCACCCGAGCGGGCTCTGCAGCTTTGTGGGAAAGCAAAAACCTGAAGGGGGCAGCGGACTAAAATTGGGGGAATTGTTGGAGCGTGAAATGATCAGGTTTGTGCGACGCACATTAACCCGGACGGGGGGAAAAACAAGGGGTCCTGCCCCCCCCCCCCACCGATAGCAGTGGCCGGAATGCGTGACGTCACGATGACGGAGGCGCGAACAATCACGTTCCCCCTTCGAGCGGGGATCGGAGCGTCTTAGCCGAGGCGCTTTGTAGCAACGCGGGGGGAGACAATGACGGGAAGAAATCCCACGACATCAAAGCGAGCGCAGGTGGGATGCACGGGATGTCAGCCTGCGAAGAGGCGGTGCGTTCTTTGCGGGAGCCAGGCTGAGTTCCGTGCTAGAACGATCAGCGGGTGCACGTTGTTTTTTCTTTTATTGTGACATTCAGATCGGCTGACCTGGCAGTTTGAAGCGCGGGCGGCTTCATTGTTTTTTTGTTTCAATGTTGTTGTTTTAGAAAGAGGCCCATGTTTTTAAAAAAAATGTTGGATTTAGGCCAACTGTGTGTTGTAACATACTTGGGGAACTGATGGAATATTTAAAAAGTTGGTTCCTAGTGTTGAGCGTTTTAGTGCAGGATACAAAGTAAATGGTAGTAGATGATAGCACTCATAACACAGAATAGTTACGTTCTCAAGTATCCTTGCTCATTTTCTTGGTTCTTTCGGTAAAGTGACGTATAAAAAGAAAATAATAAATTAAATACTAGCATACGACGTTTCGATTGCAACACAAGCAATCATCATCAGGTATAAATGAAATAGAAACTGTTGTATTACATTACATTTCTAAGTATGCTAGATTTGTGTTTCTATTTCATTTATGCCTGATGATGATTGCTTGTGTTGCAATCGAAACGTCGTATGCTAGTATTTAATTCATTATTTTCTTTTTATACGTCACTTTACCGAAAGAACCAAAAAGTAATTCCTGCAGTCACGAAAGCTCCAAATTAAGTTTGCTCATGGCTGTTCGAGTGGTGCCGTGGTTAGAGCACAAACTCACAATCCCAATTTCTACCAGTTCAAATTTCATCCCTCCACGGTCAATAAAATAGGTACAAGATTTCGGTGCGTCAGCAACGGCTCTGCTACGTGGACAGTGGGCCCCTGCCACAGGAACGTGGAATTTCCACCACTGACTCAGGGCCACGGACGGAGACGAGCAACCTCTCTGATTTTGACTTTCTTGGCAGCCACTCGCGTTGGCACTGCGCTGCGTTCAGCTGACTCTGGCCAATTTGCACTCTCCTGGGCGATGTAGGATGCAGCAGCAGCAGCGTGTGTGGGTAGATGTCAGTGGGAGGGGGGGGGGGATGCCAGGAGATGTACATGCAGACACAAGGCGTGTTAAAAGCAGTTGCCCCACGCGGCGGGAGTAACCATTCACCCCCGGACGAGCGAGCCCATCAATCTTCTCGATTCGTGGTCGCGATTTCGATGCAATCATCGATTCGTTTTACGGCATCGTCGTGACGGCCGCAGACTCTCGCAGCCCACGTGGGGCTCGGGTGTCAATTGAATCCATCAAACGCGCACAGAAGTAGCAGCAGCGGCGGCGGCAGCAGACGTGAATCAAGAAAAACAAACGTAGATCCTGCCATGAGATGCGACCGCAAATAAAACGAGGTGGTTATTCGACGACGCTTCGTTATACAATCACCTCCCCCCCCTCCTCCCACGTAGGTACGGCACAGTTTTGAACTTCTTTCGCACCGTACGCTGCCAATCGCGCGCACAACGATTCGCCTTTTTGTGTTGCGCACGCGCGAGAACAGCCCCAAAGCCCCACAACACACAACCCACAGCCTCACAACCCACAACCTCACAGCCCACAGCCCCAAAGCCCCACAGCCTCACAACCCACAATCCACAGCCTCACAACCTCACAGTCCCGCAGCCCACAGCCTCACAGCCCACAGCCCCACAACCCACAGCCTCACAACCCACAGCCTCACAGCCCCAAAGCCTCACAGCCTCACAACCCACAACCTCACAACCCACAGCCCCATAGCCCCACAACCCACAACCCACAGCCCCACAACCCACAGCCTCACAACCCACAACCCACAACCCACAGCCTCACAGCCCACAACCCACAACCCACAGCCTCACAGCCCACAACCCACAACCCACAGCCTCACAGCCTCACAGCCTCACAACCTACAGCCCACAGCCCCACAGCCTCACAGCCTCACAACCCACAGCCCACAGCCCCACAGCCTCACAGCCCACAACCTACAGCCCACAGCCCCACAGCCTCACAGCCCACAACCCACAACCTACAGCCTCACAGCCCACAACCCACAACCTACAGCCCACAGCCCCACAGCCTCACAGCCCACAACCTACAGCCCACAGCCCCACAGCCTCACAGCCCACAACCTACAGCCCACAGCCCCACAGCCTCACAGCCCACAACCCACAACCCACAGCCTCACAACCCACAACCCACAACCCACAACCCACAGCCTCACAGCCTCACAACCTACAGCCCACAGCCCCACAGCCTCACAGCCCACAACCCACAGCCTCACAGCCTCACAACCCACAGCCCACAGCCCACAGCCCCACAGCCTCACAAGCCTCACAACCTCACAGCCTCACAACCCACAGCCTCACAGCCTCGCAGCCCCGCAGCTCCTCACTTCCTCGGGCGGCGTGAGACCCCCGAGCGCGCCAAGGCAGCGGGCCAGTAACTTGTTAAAGTGTTTCGTAAAATCGCCCCTTTTGTGTCGACAGACAACAATGGAAAGTCGTCGCCGCTCGAGTTAAACAGAACAGCTGTTTAACTCGAGCGTCAAAGGGGGGGGGGGGCGGGGGGGAGAGTTTGGAAGGAAAAGCATTATCAAGCAATCTTAGGAAGAAACAAATCTGAAGGTGGTGAAGCAGTGACTCGATCTCTGGACAACATCGCCCTACGTTGCTGACTCAGGAGGGGAGTAGTGTAGAGGAAATAGGTTGCCGTAGGTTTTTTTTTATTGTGTACTGCGAGGAGATTTAGTGATGGGATGTTTTTTTGGCCAAACCTCCCCCGATGCAGGACCCTCATGAGGAGGAGGATCGAGACCTCGGGCTCGGTAAATGAATGACTTTACGTGCAGACTATTTTTAAACAATAACTAAACATAAAATGCAATGACTAGGCTGTGCAATGTTATACTGAAATTAATAACATTACTCATTAATCGCAACGTATTAAGCAAATTGCGCGAAGTGGTGGCGCAGTGGTTAGTGCACGGTCGGCATCCATGGAGTTGGTCATCTAAGTTCGATGCCTGTCCGTGGCGAACACCAGTGGCGAGCGCTATCTGACCCGGCCCCAGTGGGCCCTCCTCCGCCTTCACCAGCCCACGCTGACCAGAATGGTGAAGTATGTTCAGACGACCCTGCTGGCCGACGTGGCGTGGGAAAGCCATAATCCAACAATGACTTGAATGAAAGGCCGATCTTTACAGTATCCTAACTCTTCTTGGTTCTTTCAGTAAAGTCACGTAGAA